TAAAAAAAAATTTGATACTGCTGATAGCAGGTAGGTGTGCTACTGTTTCAAGAGGAAAGATGAACGGAACTAGAGAGAATAAAAATATAGAGTAATTTAATTTATATCTGTACGCAACGATAAACCATTGTAAATGAAAAACGATTTTGAGTAGAATATTAATAATAATTAGTCGTATTTTCCGCTTGTTTTCAAGGTAACTCAGAAATCAACAAAAGTTATTAAGGAAATTCCTAGTTTTCTAATTTATTAAGAAAACTACAAAGAAAATCAAGAAACACTAATAGAAAGTTTTATAAAGTTATTGATTGGGGCAATGTTTCTGATAAATAAATTTACAGATATAAAGAAAAACACACACACACACACACGCACACACACACACATCATAACCAAACATAACTAATCACGTGCCTTACTTTGCTCAGAATCTAAAAATATCTCAATTTACTGTCAAAGTCTATTTCATACACCTACGAGTAAGTTTCGACTATATATGGAATTATGATTAATGGCTTTCAGACCTGAAAAAGACAACATAATATAATACTGTGTAGACATACACACTCCCATGAAGGCTAAGTGACCTGTTTACGCGATTCTCACGAAAGTCAATAAAGCGGCCAAATTGTATTAAGCAAAGTCAAGTGAACCGAATATTACGGAGTATAAATGGTTGTTTGGTTTTTTTTCTACTTACGAATTTATTTTAATTTAAAAGTATCTTAAACATTTATAGCTATGGCGCGTAAATATATTAATAAAGATTTTTTATGTATTTTTTATGCTTTGTGACGGGAGAAAAAATATTGGTACGCACTACGATTTATGATATTATATAAAAACTATTCAAACGGTGTCGCAAAAGGTATTTATATTTTACACAAGGTGGTAAGGTTTTATCAGTGAGATGATGGTTACACTTAGTGAGAAAGAAGAATATTTTTTCCTCGTTTTTTTTTTATTTTTCTTCTGAATAGCTGTTTTCCGTTCTCGTTTTTTTGTGATGTTTTTAAGGCTAGCCAAGTTAATATAAAATAATATTATAATAAAATCAACGAAACCAGGCACATTAAAAATTAATTTGGAAAAATGTAATTAACCAATTCACTTATAGTTGTGGGTCAATTTAATTTTCCTGTAAACTTATTTAAAATATTAAATAATAGTGTAGTTTAAAAATGTCAAAATTCGACATTTGAATACAAAACGCGTAATACAATATATTTGTTTCCTTGGATAAAATTGATCGTAAAACAATAATTTCCTATGCGTTAAAAAGCAGCCCTCTCCCATCCTTCTTACCCTTTTAAAATAAGTACTATTAATATCGTCAACATTTTTATCGGATAACATTTCAAAGTAAGTATGTACCTAAATACTGAATCGCGTATATTCATATACGCGTATTACGTCATCAGATCATGTTGCGATATTATATTAAAAAAAAAAAAAAAAAAAAATACCGAATATGTACAATATTCTATCACGTTGATGGGTACCTTTATAAAGTATATACGTCTGAGAGAATATTTTAAATCTTTAGAGGACGACGAATATACGGTATATTATTTTTAACTTTAAATAAATTGATAACAATATTATTGTATATTTTATACATTATCGCTTCGAAATCGAATGTAATACGTGTGACGTCATTGTTTATAATATATTTTTGTAACTATATTTATACGATATTACCGCTTGCAGCAGTTTTCACATGAACATTCTACAAAAACGAGTCATATAAAACAAATTATTCTTATTTTTCTGCTTGGACCTCTATAACGAACGCAGTCTTTGAGAAGCGACAGTTCCTCAATTTCGTATGAAATTTAAGGGTGGATGGGTGCTTAATATATAAATAAACATTAGTACTCGTTTACTACTAAATGTTATAAATGACAAATTTGTGTACATTGGGAAATATTGGTGGGTGGGGAGATTACAATATATAGTTTGCTTCTGAATTAATTTAGATTAATTTAGCCACCGGACGTTTTAACTATATGTATTTTTCATGTCAACACGTCTTTTTACCCTTGATCCGTTTAACTCCTGGTTCTGGACAATAATATTTTTCCGATCGTGCACTGCTTATTTGTGTACATCTATTCCTTATAGAGGTCTCTTTCGTCTGGTTCACAGTTCATAATTAATATTGACCTTTGTCTAACAACAAAAAGTTAATTAACATACATTATATAAATACGTATGTATACCTATCTACGAATAAAGTAATAATCCGAAGTAAAATAATTTTAACCCGGTTAAAATGTACAATTCGATTAAATTCTTTTACGGTTGTCCGTAATTTATACGCAAGAGTTAATTTGTAATAATAATAATTATACAATTAGATTAATATGATGTGTAAGATTAAAATTAATTTACAAACGTCCGTGGTAATATTATGAAGTACATACCGTAAAAAACAAATACGATAAAATATAATGACGCGTAAAATTACGTTTTATATTTACGATTTAATTATACTTGGACGTATATATTTTAAAACACCAAAATTCTTCTATGCGATATTTAGAAAAATAAAACCGGTCATTGCTATGTGGTCTATTTGAAAAAACTCGTTTAAGAAATTAATGTACCTTTATAACTATTATAGATTTTGCAGTCCAAAACTGCAGTAGTAATAGTGGTAGTGTATCCGCCATCGGTCAGGTTTTTTTTTTAATTTTTGGGATTTTATTATACAAAATTGTTTATCGAATTTATATGTATACCAACGGTCGAAAAATGCAGGCTGCCTTTTATGGGTGACGTGCGGTGTAAAGGTTCCGGTAGAATTTTAATAACAGACAGAGGATTAAAAAAAAAAAAAACCAAACAAGAACCTTATACAGACAGATTTGTAAAACCGATACATTCCTCGAATCTAATATACCCCTGCAACGTGATACCGCGTTATTTGTGAAATAACCGAGATTTTCGACTTGTCGTGTCTATTTTATACATTATGAGTGAACGGCCACCGTCGTATAATAATAACGCGCGATCTACGATTTCGGGTACATGTATATTTAATAAATATAAATCAATCGATCGGGCGCACTTAAATATAATTTATATCGTCGAGTGGGCCGTTGGAGTGTTTTTTTTTTTTTTGTTCGTGTACACCTACAAAACAATATCGTATAAATAATCGGCGCGGGACGTTAAAACTATAAATCCATTTCGACTATCCTCTTCTTCGTCGTCGCGTCGGGTCGGCTTCTATACCGGTCGCGGCCGGCACCGTCACGCGGAATTTCTGCGTATAGGTCAAAGATAATATTATTATAATAAATGACCGGACAACGCGCGGTTCTGGCGAGTATACAATATTCACGACGATTCGCATGGACAGTCATTTATAACGTTAAATTAAATTAATAAATATAGAATAAAAAGAGTTATCGATTCGGTGAGTTTATTTAACCGCGGTGTCGTTTGTCCCCGCAGCTATAAATGTGCGACCGCATCGAAATTTTCTCGAAACGGCCGGTATACGGGTGAACTATATACAAACGCCGTTATTAGTGAATTTCGTATACTAATAGCGTTTTCCACCTGACTGCGCCGTCGCACCTAAAGTGGGCAGGTTATACTGCCCAAAAAACTGTCTAGTGCAGTCGAATCATAAATCATGTGGAATATAATTTTTATCAGATATAAATATTATAACATTAATTTTGTCCAAATAAAAAAAAAAAAAAAACAGTTTACTAGTTTACCTATATTTATCAGTTAAAATTATATTATTATTATTCAAGCATCGAGATTGGCATCTTTAACAATAAAAGCTAAAGCTCTTCGAGCTCGTGCTGCAACTGGGACAAGCAACTGGTAGAATGCGCGCATGTAGAACATAAAAACCTACACTAAATGTGCCCCAATATTCCATATTGAACATAAAAATGTACACTAGTACGGTCGGTGCAGTCAGATGGAAAATGCTATAAAATGTAGTGATTTATCATTGTTTGAGGCGTTTTCAACGCGAGTTCAAGATATTATGTACCTACAGTATACGTCTGCCCTAAAAATCCGTGTGCGCAAACATGTGGCCACGATATGATGAGCTCGAGTCAAACATAAATAATCGTTGCCCTATTTTACTATAGCTAGTGGTTTTTTTCCTTTTTACTACAACCGTCGACAACAATAACATCCGAACTCCAAAAATAATATTATACACAGGTACGGTAACTTCGGCGGTGGGCCGCGGTTCACAATACGACGGTAATCATTCGACCGGCGCCTCTTTGAAAACGCACATTTTTTTTTTTTTTTTTTATATAATCGTGGGTTTGTCGACCTCTCTCCTATATTCCTATTATATATGACATATACGCGAAGCCGGACCATAATAAATAATAATACGCGTGCCATAAAAATAAAAATCCTTGACTATCGATTCTATCATCACGAGTCAGATCGAGCCTTTTGACGGGTTATAGTAATGACAAATTTGCGTAGTACAGGGTTTACCACTCTCGCGTCCAACCCGATCGTCACCGATCCTCTGTACTGCGAGTGTTTTGAACTGTTTAAACTTTTTTTTTTTCTAGTCGGTGCATGTACTAAGTACCTATATTGACTCTGACTGATATTATTACGTTTTATTTTCCGAGTTCATACGAATACACAATACGTTGAAAATTAGCGATTTCACTATGTGCATGCGTCCGACAGATTTAGTAGATTGTATACTATGGATTTCCGCATCACACCGGCGGCGGATTCTTTTGCTGACCTGGTCTACAGCCGATTCGAATTATGGCGCAGGCTGTATAATTGAGCGTAGGTTGGATGCAATTCATCATCAGTTATTTTAAAAGCTGAGGGTTTCAAAAATACATAACACGACAAACGTTTACAAATGTAAACGTAACATTATCGAATGTACGCGGGATTTCGATCGTATAATTAATTATAAGGTAAGCGTCCATAGGTCCGCATCGTACGAAATGGCTGTTAAAAATTATTTATACAGTAAGTTATACAAGTGCATCCACTAATCCACAGTGGACAGCACGCGACGGCCCGTCGTCGGTAATGCCGAGGACATTTCTCAGAGAGGCGATTTTTCCGACTGGTGCGGATGACTCGTTATGAAAATACGAAAATGTTATTGTATTAAAATCAGATTGTAAATGGCTGTCGTATTGGCAATCTGATTGCTGCGGATACTGTGATCGCACTACCGCAAATTGATCCGTTCCGTATGATCCGTCCGATGCGTACGGCCTACAGGCGCTTACTTTTATACGCATTTTTTGCCGAACAAAAAGTACATCCGTATAATGGCTCAAATTACTATAAAAAATAATGTCTTTCTGTCTGTCCTTTATAGATTCAGAAACTACTTGACCGATTTTAACGGGTTTTTGTTGCAAAATGCTCCACGTAGTCCGGAGAAGGTTTATATCTATTGAAATTTCTAAAATTCAACCCCTAAAGGATAGCTGACAAGGATATTGGTATTTTATAGGATAATTTTTGTTGATTGGGTTACCTTGGTAACAAAGTAAATATTATTATCATTTATTATTATGTGGTATCTATGGTTGAAACGTATCTATAGTATCTACTGAATGTTGTTTGTTAATTCAGTAACAAAAAAAAAAAAATTATAATAATAAAATCTAGCAATAGCAGAGCATTGACGTTACAGCTATATTATATTCAAATCAACGTTTGTCTACATGTCTCTTATGCCTGCCTAAACCATTCATCCGATTGTGATGATGGTTTTTGATCAGAATTTTCCCGGGAAGGTTATAGACTTTAAGATAATGTCAATACTCAACTTCTTCGCTCTTAAAAATCATGCTTCGTAGTGAAAAACGTTATTATTATTATTACACGATTTTACATTTTGTGTATTGATTTACCCCGGAAACGCGGATCTAGCAGCAAAACCTAGTAAAATAACATATTACGACACATAGTTGACCGTAGGGCTATCTACTTAATACCCACTTATTTTCTCCGTCTAGTATACTAAGCAAAACGGGAATAAGGATAAAAAGAATTCCAAAAATGGCACGGGTGACGCCGGGCGGTGGACAGCCAGCACTTTCAACACGATTATCCTTTTTCTATTACTGTAATATAAAAACTGATGTAAAAAAGTCGTTGGTAACAACGGTAACAATGGCGCAATGGTTTATCCTTGCTTACAGATAAAATCAGACGCGTCAAAATCCCGTCTGTATCCTACCTTCCCGGCTTGTAAACGCGTAGCCGAATCCGCACGAAACGTCCGAACGGTCGGACCGGCGCGGCGGGCGACCGGAAGGACTCAATATTATCTATAAGGAGCGATGCGACGCCGGCGGTGCACGCAAAAGCGCAATGGCATTTTGATTGACGGTCAACGCCGCCGTCGTAATAATTCCGAACGATTCTTTCTAACCCCCCCCCTCCCCCCTCCCGCCGCCAACCGTATTATTATATTATCGTCGGTAACATATATCCAAAGACGATATATATTATATTAAATACGAGTATGAATATGTGTACGTGGGTACACGCGAGTATAAAATATAATACGCGCTCGGTGTGCGGTCGGGGCGGTGCACGCGTATACAATAATAATAACGATAATAATAATGATAATAATAATAATAATAAAAATAATAATAATAGATAATATTATTGCGGCGGTCGTGCGCCGTGTCCGGCGTGCAGTGCGCGCGCGCGTGTCCCGCGCGAGCGACAATACGTCAAGTCGTCGGACGTATTATTATTATTGTTGTTGTTGTTGTTGTGTACGCGCTTGCGCAGATATGACGCGCGGTTATAAATTACGGATAGAATAACTCGGAAATATTATCGTGTATACGACCCGTATATAAAATATTATATTATACTGTGCAATAATAATACGATCGCATTGTCTCGTCGGCGGAATCGAGACGAACAGTCGCCGGCGTACGGTATAATAATATAATGCGATACTGGTAGGGGGACGCATAACACGGGTACGGCGAGCGCGTAAAATTCGATGTGTGTACGATGTTTTGACGTTGGGTCCGGCAGCGACGGCGGCGTACGAATCGCGCGAGAAAACAACGGTATTACGATAAACGTAATAGGTTTAGTAGTTTTCGCGGCGGCTAGAGCGAGACCGCGCGATAATCGTTACGATAATAATATCGCCGTCATTAATAATAATTTTTTCACGTTTCCGAAAAAAAAAAAAAAAAGATTATACGATAACCACACGAGATAAATTGCAATTAATATAATTATTATTATTATTGTCGTTGTTGTTGTTGTTGTTTGGGTTTTCGACGAATTTCCCCGCAGGAAACATCGAGACTAGGGATATTTTTCCCGCCACTTTTGGACACTCTTAGCGGTTCCCTCTGTACGCCTAAAGACAGGGGCCTCTTCAGACCTTGAATTTGATGGGATAGAGGGGGGATAAAATAATTAAATCTAATGTGAATGATTGATAAGAAAAAAAGACGGACATACTTTGCACGATGGGTAGGCCGCTGTTATCGGTGAGAAAAGTCGGGAAGGTAGTTTAATAAGGGAAATTTAATGTATATAAATACGTAAGCAGATTAAGGCATGGCAAACAAAAAAAGATTCTGAGTGGAGCTTTACAGGAGGATGGAAGTGATAAAAGTTCGGTTGATCGCATTGTGATATTGAGATTTTTTTTGGCTGTTGGGGGAATGAAACTTAAAATTATACTTATGGTGTTAGTGTCGAAAATGTGGTTATTGGGAGTTCCAACTTTCAATCCTCGTCCCAACAACCATTTGTGTGTTCAAATTTCATAATTTTCTCGGAAATATTATATAGTATAAATAGTGTATTATAATATAGTATTCGGTTAAGTGTTTATTGTTTAACAAAGAATATTTCTACAAAACGACATTGGAGGAAGGAAATTCGATTCTATTATGACGACGAAACTCTGTTGTTCAATAGTGTTTTTGTTATTATTAGTTTTTTTTAAAGTGAATTTTACCATACATTTTAACTTAAAATTCTGATAAAAAATAAATTCTGAAAATTTACACAAAGAAAGAATCAAAAACAATTACATGAACTGCAAATCTGCTTGAGTTTTTTTTTTTTTTTTTTTCAAAAAAAATATCTCTAGATTTTTCGTCAAGATGACATGAGAAAATACTTGAACAATTTTCCGACCTTTTTTGACCCTACGAATGTTCAAAATTTAATGTGTGTTATAAATGACGCAACGCGCACCAATACTCTATATATCTGTGCAGGACTTTTTGCATTAAATTACTCAACAGATTATGTGCCATATTATATGGGAAAAATGCAATTATAAAACAAAAGTAAAATAATTCCCTATATCATATTTATTTAACTATTTATTTATTTGTGTATCACATGTATCTGTTTTCACCTATTTTATAAAATAAAGTACGTAATTTTACCGCTATATAAAAGTACTTTATATCAAAATCATATAGTTTTTCGTGCCGAATTTAGCCATGTAAAAAGTATTGGAATCGAATAAATGTCAGTGAAATAATCGATAAAAATTAATATGTGCCAATTTTGGTACAATATACGAAAAGGGATTGAAACGAAAACGTTATGGCCTAAATATTCCTGGATTTTTTCGCATTATTAAGAAAACTACAAGAAAAAATCATAATTTAAAAACAACCTTCCCTGCAGTAGTGTACCAACTAGACAAAATATATTACTAGAGACCACACACCTACGATGCTGAAGATCGGAGTATCTGGTCAAAAGTCACTTAAAATCCGGGAGAAAGCATACGTTGTAACAACACGAAATATACGCACTTCTTTCCGGGTGATAAAAAAAAAATAAATAAATAAATTTCTTATTATATTAAACTTTTATTAAACGACTACAAATTCGAGATTCAGGTATATTATATATCAACTTCGAAATGTAAAATTCTCATCGAAACACCAAACCTAATATTGCTCCTAGTAAATTGATATGTAAACAATTAGTGGTTAAAAATCAAGTTGGATTTAAATAAAGATAGGGGCGAACAGCAAGAGACATGTCGCGTTTGTCACATTTCGAAGTAGAAAAATTGACAATCTCGTCACATCATTGTCCAAAGTCGTCAATTTGTTGGCATTACATCCGTACCGATGCTAAATGAAAATTTGAACGTTCGGCAAAATTATTGTTGAGGTTATATTTCTCATCTTCCGGGAGTAGTTATATTCGCCCCGACAACGCAATAACAATAACAATAGTAGTAATAATAATAATAATATGTTATGTACATCACGAGTCTCGTGTCGTAAATCGACCGACTTGTCGGAAGTCACAGCCCGGTAAGTATATAATGTGACCTGAAAACGCGAGAGCGCGGTGCGCGTACGACGTGTCGCGCGGTCGTCGTGCGCGGATAATCTTTTTATTTATTGGTGGATTAAATATGGCGACCGGCACCGTGCCGCGCCGCTCGCATTACTCTTTATTACGCCTAGTTATTTCATTTATTAACTTACTTTTTGTCTTTGTCGCGAAAAGGGGCCAGCGAGAAAATGCCGTCGTGTTACGACGCACGTCGGACCTGCAACGGCGGATTTATCTACCGGACCAAGACTGCATCCCGAAAAAAAATACAATATTATTATTTGTGTTGTTGTTGTTGTTGTTGTTTTTGTTTTGTTATTGTCTGGACGCTGGTGTGTACCGCGATAATAGTAATACGGACAATATTATAACCGCACGGCGCAGGTTAACTTCACGGGATTATTTTGACTGCATCAGGGTTGTCGGACGGTGTTTTAAGTTCAATTTTAAAAATTTCGTTGTGTACATTTTGTCAATTTCTCCCGCCCGAGCCTCGAAAATATATAAAGTCAATCCATTAAGTTCTAAATGTCACCACCGGCAGCTGGTATAAGTATATATTAAAAGTATAAAGTATTCCTTTTGTTATACGGTATGCTTTGATCTACAGTTGATAACCACCTTCAAAACCTAATGAATTAATCATAAATTGTTTTCTATGGCTCTTAGACATCATTATGTAAAACACATCAATGATAAGGTGGTGCCCCAAAAATATTATTTTAAAGTTGAGTGTAATTACGCCCTTATCTTTTGTTATTTTTTTTCATTCATGCGAGTATACAAGTAGGTATCGATAATACTTTCTTTGGATATTTGATACTAAGTAAAAGTGTTGATACTTTTCTTCCGATATAACATCCCCAACTATAGCACGAAAATCATTTTTGTTTTTTGATTACCCATAGTACGGTTGCACGTTATAATATGTATAGTAAATAAATATATAAATAAAACACTTTGACTGTGATAAACCTGATGATGAATTTTGTATTCGAAACCCGTCGTATAATACACTAATCATAATACTCCAGGCGACCAATTGATTTATTTATTTATTTGATTTTTATATATACATTTTTTATTTATATATGTATTTACTTTATTTCTTTACCGTTTTATTAATTTTGTTTGAACTTTATTATTTCATTAAATATATATATTCGTTGATCATTCAATTATAATCGAGTGACCTAAAAATGATTTTTGTTTTTTCTTAAATAGCTTCCAACTTTACCTATATGCTAAAAGAATGTATTGTGGTATTTTCGACTAAATTAGATTTTCGAAAATAAAACCGTCGTCGTATTAATCAGACAAGCATACCATTATACTATTGTACGCGTGCGAATGTGCCGGCGCTTATAATGCCCGTCTCCTTTTTTTAGATCGACTGTACACTCGATTCGAGTGATCTTTGTGATTTTCTTATTAAATTTCACTGTTTTGTGGTGGTATATGTATTCTCAAGCGTAAAATGTTCCATTTAAACCAAAAATAACAATAGTATTTTGATATACCATTGAAATAATTATTTGAAATGCATATGCCGGGTCGCGTTCAATTTTACAGAACCGACTACTGGCTGTCGATTCTGTTTAAAACTGAAATTCAGCTATATAATGAATAAATATTATCAAACACAAAATTATCGAATCAATAAGTTGTTGAACTGATTTCAATTCTGTAAAATTTGAATAACTGTTTAACACAAAAATATTCCGTGGAAGATATCCTAATCATTTAATTAAAATTTTGTTATCACGTAAATTTGTAATTTAATTTTCTTATTACTAAGGAGTTATTATGTGTGGTGACGATATAAGAGCTATACAATACAAATTAAATGTCATATGAGTCTGAAAAAAACATAATTATTTTTTAAATGTTGATTAAAACCAAGGCGATTTAGTGATAGATCAGGTCCTGTTCGAAGAATCCGATTATTTTGATTTCAAAATTCAAAAAAAACTTTATTACTATTTTTCTTCAGTTCCTTGGCCTTTATCTCAACTATTTGGGGCAGGTTTCCTCGTCTTAAACTTCCACTTAACAAATTATTCCGTTACTCTTTATTTAAACTTTGAATACATTATAATGAATTGTAATATTATTAACTAATTAACACGAATAGTACATTCCTATTGAAATAATTAAATACATTTATAAAATGCATTCTATTTACTATAAATGTAATTCTACAGAACTGTTATTTTGTGACCAGAAAGTAATACTATTTTGAAGACTCAATCTGCGTGATTAAGTACGAGTATCGCAATATTATTGTATTAATGTTAAAGATCGAATCACACAATAATAATAATTAATAATGCATCGTTAATAGTGAAAATAATAAGTAAAAAAAAATAACATTATTATTATAATTTTAAAATCTAAAATTAAACGGAAATCGTGTCGAATTTTAACATCAATGTTATTTTGTTTTCTCGTCGACAAACGATGAGAAACGGTTGGCGCGATTATTACTTTTTTTTTTTTTCTAAACGTGTCACGTTACACGCCGGCGTATTTGGCCGGACGAAAATATATCACATAAGATACGAAAGAAATATTATTCATTTTTAAATACAATAATGTTGCAATCGGCATCATCAATATCCGAGGACAGGTTAAGGGTCCAGTGAGCCCTGTGACCAAATTTGAGGAACTCGAAGAAAACTTTAAACGGGCCCACTTTACATAAATTGTACGTTTTATATACTACATAATAAACGATGATCAACGGGTTCTTGTAACTGCTCTAACCCTCCCTCCTCCGTTATTCCGGTTTGGATTTATCACTCGTTTCGCTTAAATCACTATAACAATAATACTGATCGAAATAATATCGGTTTTTTTTTTTTAAAAAAAAATTTTACTTGCGTGTTCATCAAACGCTATAATATGTAGTATGTACCAAATGATTATATTTGTACGTAATATGAAGAAGTGCTTTTAGTGAGTGTGTACACCCTTATAAATGTATACTACCGATGTATAAACATGAGTTATACGAATCATTAATCAATGGAATAATATTAAGAAAAGGAAAAATTAGGAATGTAAACATATTTTTATTTATAACGTTCGACTCATTGATAAATCGATTCTTATATCTAGTGCGTATTAGACTTTAAGAATATCGTATACCATAACAATAATACATTCTAAACATTGTAAAATCATGGTACAATAAATAAATTCACTGCAATTTGTGTCAGCTTTCTATATAGTATCTACAGTACATCATAGTCTACTGCAAAAATAAAAAAAACCGAACAAAGCCGCGTAAATAGTTCAATTATATACGAGGAAAAAACTACCCCACTGCAGTCCACCATAGTCTACAATTTTTGTGATGATTATAGTAATAAAAGTGTAAGCCCTCTTCATGTTTCTCTTGTCACCATATTCAACCTTTTTTTTTAAATATCTAATATCTTAATAATATTGTACACGTTATAAGATTCGAATCCCTACAAACATGGCGGCAAAAAATTGTTGCATAAGCCTTCAATATTATATGTAAATAGCATTATAATATGATAGTTAGCAATAATCTATAGTGGGTTTTTCACATACATTTTTTTATATAAATATGCGAAATAAAGAAAACGTATAGAAAAAAAGTTTGCACGTTTGTGCATATGCTACACAGTTTTTAATACTTAAAATATCTCTTAGGTGAAAATATGATTTTTTGCATTGAATTATATTTTGTGACTATTAAAATCTATTAAAAAATATTTTTACATGGTGTTTAACAAAAAATAAATAAATATAGAGGTATAGTTTCTTATTTGAATTTTAAAAATTTACCTCAAATTCTCCGACAAAAATAAAAAGTTATTTAAAAATTGTAAGTCCCTATATGATTTTAGATTATAATATCCAATACAAGTTTTTCATTATGTAATTGTCTCTTTATTTCGCATGTTTAATTGAGAACATTTCAACAATAAAATTTTGATAACCATGTTTAGATATTATCTATGGCTACAAATCGATCACTAAGTAGAGCATTTTTCAAAGAGGTTTTCTGTATTCAACTAGACACATAGTAAATTGCATTGAACACTCAGTAGGGTAAAAATTTGTTTACAATTACTGCGTATCCACTAGAAAATAGATGATGAATAATTGTCTTAGTAGATTCTGAAAAAAAAAAATGTATGTATAAGAAATATATTCTATAAATATGTATAAATAGAAAATACTATCACTAGTACTGGGAGAGGTAACCAGGATAAGTTCAAAAGTAAAAGAAAAGGATATACAATATACAATACTGTATATTAAATGTTGCCTATTATACCAAAACCTATCACCGACTTTTTGTATGCGATGGACATATCGTCACAATGTTATATACAACCAATTTGATAAATTTAATAGGTATAGCAATTTGTTTGAATAATTCTCGTATGACCTAACTTATTCTTTCGTGAATATATTTTTTGATACATATATATATATATATATATATATATATTATATGTATATTTTGCAATCTATTTCACCGAAAAGTATTTAAAATTATTCGCATTCTTCTTCATTCTATGTATTTATATTTATATATACGCTCCAACTTAAAGGCCATTTTTATACGTCACGGTTTTTTTTTTTTTTTTTTATTGAAATAATATGGAAATTCAAATTGTTTTTCGACGTCTATTGTTTTGTATAGCTCAGTTCGGGGGGTAGCCGGTTGTCGAGTTCACGGTCGCGCATTTATTGTTTTATTTTCAAACTTCCAACAACACTATCTGCAGCGCTGTCTGTACATCAGCCAGTATACCGTCGTAATGAACGGAAAAAAAAAGTTTTATTCGTAATCAAATTATATTTTTTTATAAATTAACCCTCGCGATAAAACCCCAGAATATAAATTATCATGGGTAGGTATAGCCATAATTCGACATTGTCAAACCGATAAACAATTTTGTATACCTATAAGATATAATAATCGTGGAGTGTACCTAGGTGCAGGGTCGGTGTTAGGGTAGGGCAAGCGGGGCTTACGTCCAAGGTCTCGCGCTTTCAGAGGTCCCGCGCTTGTGGACCCATAAAAAATGGTAGCATAATTATAATGGGCGTAAAACTGGATTAATATTTTTTTTTAGTAATTTAACGATGTTTTTGGGAAAACCGTGTATACGTACGTTGCCTTATCAAACAGTGTTTCCGGCCGTGGCCAAGTGTTGGGTATTATTATAATTATTGGAAAAGAGTGGTGGTACGCTGAAAAAAAAGTCTCACCAAAATAAATTTATCCAGAGCCTCGCAAATCGTAACGCTAGCCTAACCTAGGTGAACTTGCAGTGAGCTTAAACGTGCATTTATAAGAGCAACTTCAGATCACTCGATACTGCAGATTATCGTTTCTCATATTACCGAACAAGTAGGAGGGGGGGCGTGATGATAATTTATCACCCCATGATCTTTGTCCCTTCAATATCTGTAATAGTAATATTATGTAGCATATTATCTTTATATTTATAACAAAGAATAATAATTGTTAGAAAAAATCAGCTTCATGTCTTTTCATGCTAAAATCATTCTCTGTCTCTTTTAAAAAAAATAATAATAATAATTAATTCATGTCGTAAATAGCCGACCAAAACAACATTGTTCGAAGAGAGAGGAAAATTGTAGAACTTTACAAATTTTAGGTTACTTACATTAAACTTTTTCTTAAAAATTGTGTTTGGGATATAGAGGAGATATCATCTGGAAGATATTTATGGTTGACATTTTTTTAAAACATGAGGTGAACGATAGGGGCAATATAAATTTGCCCGAAATATGATATAGTAAGAATAATAATTTATTTTATTTTTATTTGGTTTTGATAAGATTTTAAGTATAAATAAATAATTAAATTAATAATAATATTGATTGATAATTCGACAGTAATAAGACAGTAAGAACAGATCTTCGGGAGGTACATCTCATTCATTCAGGTCGTGCTATGGTTGGGAATAAGCGATAAATATCCTAAGGCGACATACTTTATGGAGCACTACATTCTAGATGGATATTAAGTTTATGCCTGAAACATAATGTCCTACGGTACCTGCAATGATAGTTAGCATGATATTGCACTCATCCTTCCTCCCCCGCGGACCCCATGCATCGCTCAAATACCTTATTCACTCGTTCCCGAATCTCGGGCACCCTACGGCTAAAAGGCAATTAATCGCAAGCGTATAAATCCACCGCGGTGACGTGACGAGACGTGACGTGTGACGGTGTTGTCGAATTCGCGAGTATAAGATAAATGTATGTATAGTTACGACGAAATTATAAATGATAAAGAGAGTTTTAATTTTTTTTTTTTAAAAAAATACCTCATAAATTATCTACTTACGGTTTTAGGCACACAACAATAATGATAATCATTATTTAGAGATTGCGCGTAAAGAAACAATAAGGTTATATTATTACCTTTGGTCCCGGCGAAAAAGGGTCGAAGTCAATTTTGTATACGGTTCTCAATACGAGCAAATTCAATTTTGAAAACACATGTTCTCGATAAATAAACTAATAATATATTAATACTATACTACGCGTACACCAATATTCTATATACGCTATTATAATTTAGGCCAGGAAATAATTAAAAACCAATTACATTAGATAAAATTGTAGGGAAAAAAAATACCAAAACTTTATATAAGCCCTTCGTCTTTGAGACGGTGATAAAGTATTTGAATCAGTAAAATTCTAGATCGTTTCGTTTTTTGTAGTGTTTCTTTTTTCGGTATTACTATCAAAAAAATCGTCTTCTTTTGAATTGACGGCACTTAAAATTATCTATTACCGAACTGCGCTCGGAATCGTATTTGGTCAGCAATGGTTTATCGTTGGTTACAGTTATAAATGAAATAATCTTACCTTCCCAACTTCCCACCTACAACAGTGGCTGCACCCATGTCCCCAATATCAGCTCATATTATTTATATATTTATTTACTATCATTAATTATTGTATGTTTACCGGTTATTCCGATAGAAAAAAAACAATATAGGTTCCCTGAGTTTAATACTGATTACACTACTTTATATTTTGGCCATGGATGTTTTCTGAGGTAATAAAAAAAGACAGGAATTTGTGATAGACGAATTTTTAATTAAATACTTCATTCGTGTCCCCTTCCACAAATTGAAAATTCCTGTCGCGTACGGAGAGCAGGAAAACTTAAAAGCATAAACGGCAACATTAAATACAAGAATCATTCGTATTTTTCATTTTTAAAAAGTAATATTATTATTGCGGCATTATTTTTCTTTCTTTTCGTCTTCAGATCTCGCACGCTGTGACTTTTAATATTTTTAGATTCTAAGTGTCACGAATTTGACATCATAATTTTACTAATATTTGTTTTTCATGGAAAACTTTTTTCTCGATGAATAAAATAAGTACTGTGATTTTCACTCAATGCCATAAAAAGAAGCTAGATTTTCATATGGTTGTATTTTACTTAATATATATTTTTATATTATTCAGAAGTTATCCTACACTTTTTGGTTTATTTTTATTTCAAATATGTATTTAAACGCGTAGCTTCGTATCTGTACATTAGTTGAAACGGGTGCACAGAACTGGAATTCAAATCTACCATTCTGGAATTGTATAAATCAAGACCGTACGAATTTGGAATCCTAATTTATACTTTATAGGTTTCTACATAGGTATATCAAAGACAATCATTATACATTATATATATTTAAAAAAAAAAAAAATATTTAGATAATATGATTTAATTTAGCTGAATTTTTTTTAAACAATTTTTCTTTTTATCATAAAAAATGCGTGTTTATATTTAACTTAATTTCCCTTAATTCTAACTATTAATTACTTATAAACAAATGACATATTTTTTTAAAAAAAATCATTCGGCCTATGCATAGACAAATACTCTTTTGCAACACGTATTATCTTTTTGTCCTGAACTCGACCAGACAGTCGCAATCATTAAAGCGTGAAATGTTTTATTGTTATAATATTACGCGTGAGACAAATAGAGAAAACAAATTATGTATAGAAACCATTAACATGTTAAGGGTTATTTTCAATTAAATTCTGAGCTTGCATTCTGGATTTGTAATGTCTAGATTCGTACGTTCCTAGTTTTTATATAGGTACCCGCATGAACTACTACTCGGTGATAATTTTAGATTCTGAGCGCAGCATGAAATATATTGATTTTCGCATTTTTATTTTCTGCTTGTTAAAAATTTTGTTAAAAGCAAACTGCTTTTAGCTGGTATATTGGGGTAACAATTTTTTGATCGTCCTTTTATTGTTTTTAATTATCGTGAAAAAATGGGAAAAATAGGAATTTTACGACAATAATTAATTGATTAAATTATTTTCAATCATGTTTTTTTTTTTTTTTGTAACTCAGTTAAAAATAATTCTAGATGTTTAGACATTTGAAATTTTCACAAATTACTTATATTAGTAATTTTAAGACGTGGTCAGATTTTCAAAACGGTCTCGTGATTTATGAGCATTTAAGTATTTATGAGCATTTGATACTTTATAGTTTTTTTTTTTAGTTGTTATTTAGTTTTATGTTGAAATGTTTTAAAATTATACACGGGGTTTTATTATAAGTTGTACTCAATTGGTCTTATCAAAGAAAAAAGTTTAGCATCATTTAGTATTTTTTGTTTATACATATATGGTATATATTAAAAAGTGTGTTTATATTTTAACGAAAATCGGAAAAAAAAATACGACATTTCGAAACCATTTCTAACCGGATTTCGCTGAGAATCGTATTTCGTCAACAACAATTTATCATCGCGTTCAGATATCAATTTCCGACGAATAAGTACTGTTAAATGGTTTTGCCCGAAATAACTCGTGGCGTCAGAATTCGTAATGATTATATTTTTGGACGCGAAATATACATTTGTCCTATTACGCGGTACAACTATTATACTCGTATAACACGGGGGCGGCCAAACGGCGGATGCACGATCGACCGGTAGTTCGCAGACGATTTCCATGTGGACATCCCTTTGTTAGAATTTATTTTTACTCAATATTAGTAAGTGATAATTGTCAGTTGTAATTAGTCATTGGAAATTGTAATTATTCACAATCGTCGATAATTTTCGTCTCGATAGGTCATTATTTCATTGTCGGTTTATCGAGTAATACATTTCCATAATGTTTAAACTAACAATTTTATTATTGGTGGTTTTAATCCAGCGCTGTAAACGGACGCGTTACTTTCAGAGGAACGAAGTTTGGAACGCGCTTGAACGATTTAAAATATAGGATCGGGAAAGTTCCTATTAATAAGGAACGTGAACGGAAATTTTCGTTTCTCGTACTAAAAAAAAGAAATGAAACGCACGTTATTTTAATGATAATATTGTCTACAAATTATTTAGTGTTGGTATCACTTCGTCAGTTACTAATAAATTACCACAATACTGTTGCATTAATGCAATCCCAACTTTTTGATTTTTATTAACATACGAGCTACATAATATTGATGATATTGATCTAAATCGCAATCGTTCAGGGAGGGGCCAAGGGCGTATAACACTTATGTACAACAGTGTTATAAACGATATCTCGGTGATAATGATTTAAAATGATAAAAAACAATATATTATAATATATTCGATAATGACCATAAATATCAAATTCTAAATGAGAATAATTTCCAATTTTAGTGTACTTGATTAACTCACATTACACTTTTTTTTTTAAATGTAAATTAGGTATTTATACGTAAATAAATAACTTACGAAAAATATCAAATATTTATATACTTCCAAAGTAAATTGATTAGTGATATTTTCAAATTAAAAATACAAACAAATTCCTTACTAAAAGGAACTTTCGCGACATTGATTTAATTTATAATATTATATTAGAGTCTTGATAAAACTGTGATGTAATACATAATATTTTATAACTATACATTATAGCTTTATTATTTTTACATGTGTGTTTGTTATTAATATCTATTAGGTAATTTAAATAGTTACAATTTTTTTTTTTTTAATAAAAATCGTTCCTCAAAGGAAAAATATAATATTCTCAGAAGATCTCTACGAAAAGTCGAGTGACAAATAGTAGCAGGTCGAGGTTGAAATATTTTTTAAGTTTTTTTTCGAGCACAACATTACGCGAAATCACGGTCGTTCGTATAAATCGGGCGCGGGCCGATTTCGTAGTAATAATATACGTAAGTCCGTCTGAATTTTTTATCAGGCTATTTTTGTTGTTTTTTTCGTCAAAAAATAAAATTTTGTCACTCACGTTTATTTTTCGTCGACGTCAGGAAGGTCGACGACAGCACGTGATGGAAGATCGGAAAGAAAAATTGTCAAATTTTTTTTCAGTGGAAGTAATCTGTGCAGATGTATAGTATAACATACTATACTATAATGGCATTTGTGTGTTCGAGTTTTTTTGTTTTTGTTATTTTTTTTTTACCG